GTTCGGACAACTGGCGATTGAATGTGGTCTTGATATTGACTATGTTCAGTGTCTTTTTTTTGCATGTAAATAAAAACTCTGTGGGACACGTACAACTTTCACGTTCATAAAGCTGACGTTTCCTTTTACGGAATTATGTAACCTTCACCGTTGATGTAATAATAATATTCATTACAAACCAAACCTGTCGATTTTATTTTAATATTTTATGAAAAACTGGAATTGGCATTGGAGGCCTTTCTTTTCTTCCCAAATTAATTGGAGTTTTTAGTTTACTTCAAATTTAAACAACCTTTCGTTATGCTTTCGCGTATATTGTCAGTTTGGATTTTGTTGGCTCTTTCGATATGTTTTCGCATTTGTGTTGCAAGGTGTTGGTAGTTTATCTTGTGAGGTTTGTATTGATTTAGTTTGATTATTAGTTATGGTCTATCTTGTTTTTTCTTGGAGCTACGTTCCCATCATTTTAAAAAATTTTGATGTGTTTTGACGTTATCCTTGTCTCCCTTTCGCAGGATTTAAGACTCTGGGATATAATCCGCCAGCTTAGTTTCCAAAGCTGTGTCTTTAGCCTTCGGCTTTTGACTCTAATGTCGTGTATTTTGACAATCGATAGTGGTTCGTAATTCTATTTGATTTTATTATTACATCTAGATGAGAAAAAAAAAACAATTTTCCGATTTTTTCAATTTCTTTTGAAGTTTTGTAATCTTTATTAAAAACTCAAATTCTACGAAAAGGAATTCAGAGATTACTTCCAAATATTGAATAAAATCCATATATAAAAATGTTAATTATCTTACATGTGAATATCCAGATATTATACTTTGATTTAAAAATGATATCGTTATATTTTGTTTGTTTTCATGCATGCAGTGTATGTTGCACCCAGTATATGGGTGTGACCGGTTACTAACTGGAGTAAATGAATTGAAAGTATTTGAATTAGAAGAAAAGAAAACTGAAAACTAGAATAATTGGATAGAAAAATAATTATACTTACTTTTTCAAGTGGAAAAATCTTATTATATAAAGGAGAATGCGCACGATGAGAACGCGATACGTAAGAAAAATTTTTATTCACCAAATAACGATACATGTAATTGTTAATTTAGATTGTGACATGTGTCAATATTAACAAAAATTGAAATAGGAAAATAAAAAAATAAATATTCTAAACAAGGATTATGGAACAAATAACAAAAAGGGAAAAACACATAGGTAATATTTCTAAATTGGCATATTACAAAATACGTTTTTTCCATTTCAAATTTTCTAAACATTCAACAACAAAACAAATCTTCAATCGGGTTGTCGAAAAAAATAGTTATAGACAAAAGAAGATGCATATAGTAAGTGTCATTTTGCTAATAGAATAACGTGTATGAGACAATTTAATATGAGATAAATATAATAAATTAACTATTTAATAAAATATAATAATAAAATAAATATTAAATATTTTTGCGAGTCATAATTTAGAATCTAATTAATTACATTTGTCAAATTATAGGAGTTATCAATTTCAAAATAAAAAATATAGCATTTTTATACAAGCTTGACATGTAAGCAAGATTATCACTCATCATGACATATATCTAATATTGATCAGATAATGATATGTGTTAACACTTAAAAATAATTAATAAAACTAAAATTTAAATGGAAAGTAATTGACAAGTTACTAATCAAACAATAAAAAGTAAAATTTCTAATAATCCATACTAATTAAGAAACAAAAATTAAGATAGAATATAGAGAGGACCTAAGCCATAAAAGAAACAAATAATACATACATATAAAAAATGTCAATTAAAATATATAAAAAGGCGAATGATAAACAAAAGAAGATATATAAATTGGAAAAAAATTTAGAAAGGTTATAGAAACCTCAGTTTAAAAATTTAAGATATGCACAACCATGCAAAAATAAAATAAATTAAAAATCTATAAGCATACTCATTTTATCAATATATAGAGTCATAAAATATCACAAAGAAAATTGGATATATTCGACCTATGGCGCCACTCTCCAAGTGTATATATTGAAAATTTAAATAAGTTAAAAATAATAATATTATATTTACTTTTAAGTTAATAGTGTATAAGGGTTGAGGAATATAAATCTCTAGGAAAAATAAAACGATGATAATAATGAAATACAATCATCAATCATGTACTTATTTGATAGTTCACAACAATATTTATAATTTTTATGAGGTTACTAACATAAAATTTACTCTTTTACGATTAAACTATATAGTATTTCAATTTTTTTTTATGCTTCTACCATATAATTCATAAATATTCATAATGAATAAAAATATATATTTTCTTTTGTTAT